TGGCCTGTATTCTGCAATCTGTGGGGTTCCATACCCCTCTTCATTATCAGGGCCAAGATTAGGGTGTGAGGCAAAATATAAGGGGTGTCAAAAAAACCCACCTTTAAGATTAATAATATTTTAATGCAATATTTTTAAAATATTAAAATAAAAATATCCACAATTAACAAAATACCAGAATTTTAAATAAAGGTAAGACCTGTAAGCTGAAGTTCATTAAAATTATTATTTAAGACACTTGTAAAAAATGTTGTCAGACATGACAATTCTTGCAACTGGAAATAAGAAGTAGATATTGAAAATATTGACCATTTTATGTCCATTAAAGCCAGGAAAGTAAAATTATAATAGTTTTTGGTATAAATGAAGTATTTAAACCTAAAACAATATTCTGAGTTTTAATACACCTACTTTTCAAATATTCAATATTTCTTCAAGTAACAGTGTTCTGAAAAAAAATTTTTAAATACATAAAACTATAGGAGCACATATTTTCCCTTGTATTTAACTAAGATTTAATTTTTTTGCTCAGCACGGATTTTTTCCATTGATCTGGACTTTTTTAAACATTGAATTAAAATATTTACCTTGATTGCCAATTTTCTGGCGTCTCCTTACTTTGCGCTCTAAGCCCTATCCCCATACCTTTTTCTTGTTTTCTGCTTTAGGAGGTCGGGACCTTTCCAGTGTTTTCCAGAGGCGGAGCTATCTTTTGTGCCGCCTACCTCGCCCCCTCCCGGGCCGGGGTGGGAACCTCATGAAATAATTTCGTTTCATGATAAACTTGAAATCAGCGCCACTCACCACTTGGCGGTGTTGACCCAGAAAAAAAGCTCCCGGAACTAACGCATTCTGGGGACGTGTTTCCCGCGGCGGGCCGGCAGCATTTCCATCACGCACGCCACGCCCTTTCCGGTTTCTCCTTCCTCTCGCGAGTCTTGCGTCACGGCCGCGTTGGGAAGTGTCCTCCGGGCTCGGAGCTTCCCGGCTGGAGCGTCCGGTGTGCGCGGGGGGAAGGCGTGAGCTCTGTGCCAGGTGTCCGTGCAGCCCCGCGTCGGTCGGGAGGTGGTGCTGTGCTGTCGCTGTCTGTCCCTTCTCTTTCCGCGCGGGGAGGACTCCGCATTTCCTCTCCCCTCCCGTCCCTCTGCTTGGCTGGTTGGGAGCGCCACTTTAGAAAGGGCACCTGCCCATCCTGGCGGTGAGGCCGGGGCCCAGGAATCTGCCTTAGTCTTTACTAACCGGGATGGAGGCAATTTTTGCAGCAACAAGTTTCAGATTTAAGTTCCTTGATGACATTGTAATATTTATGGAGCCCTCCCTATGTGTTAGGAACTGTTTTAGGTGGATTGGACTTGGCAGTGAGTAAATCCGACAAAAATCCTTACCCTCCGGGAGCTTGCCTTTTAATAAAAATTTAGAAGACAATAGAATGGAAACGAGAATAACTCAGAATGAGAACTTTCTGTATGGGTCGGAGGAGGAGGAAGTTAAAGGGGATAAAAAAGATACAGGTGTAAGGTTTCCTTTGGGGGGAAAACTCGTCAAAGGTGCAGGGATGTTGATATGTATGGTCATAAGATGGATTGCATAAATATCAGGAATGCAAGTTAGGAATTTAGGATTAGTGAATTTGTGCTCTTGCTATATGATGTAGTATTAATTTACTTCCCCCCTTTTTTTTCCTTCAGGAAAGGACTAAAGATTAGATTATAGGAAAAGTAGAAGCAATGTTTCGAAGACCTGTATTGCAGGTAATCAATCACTTTTCCATAATTGTGCTGATTAGATGTCTTCAGGCTTTTGACTGCAGAGGCAAAAGAGCTTTGAGCCCACCCACTTTATGTGTACTTATTTGATATGGAGGTTTGGAGACAGATTTTACCTGTGTAAATAATGTTCACTAAAACAAATATTTTCTAGTTTTTCATATATATTTATAATGGGGAGTCATTCCTTATTAAAATATGTTACTTACATGTAGATCAGCTCTAGTACATTTAAAATCTTTATTGATCCAAAGACTGAGAATCATTGTCCCAGCATTTTTCTATAAGGCCATGTGGTTCCTCTTCTGACCACTTACCTTCTTTTTTTGTGTGAAATTTTATGAGAGTTTGTTTGAGCCAAAATGCGGACACATGCCTGTGAACAAGTACTCAAGTGCTCTGGAGAATAACAGTTTTGCAGCTTCTTTCATGATGCTATTGAGATTAAGAAGGAAATTTAGGGAAGATTACATGGAAGTGGGAGAGAGCAAGGTGGGGATTGCATACAGTGGTTCTCAACCTGTGGATCGCAACCCCTTTGGCGGTCCTTTATAACACTTTCACAGGGGTCGCCTAAGACCATCCTGCATATCAGATATTTACATTACGATTCATAACAGTAGCAACATTACAGTTATGAAGTAGCAACGAAAATAATTTTATGGTTGGGTCACAACATGAGGAACTGTATTTAAAGGGCCAGAACGTTGAGAACCACTGCATTATAAGGTAGTTAAGATTATCTACTCTCTTGAGGGTGGTAATTGTGGCTTATTTCCAACATGTGTTAACCTAGATGCACAGAAACAAGCCTTGCTTCAGGCAGAGATAAACCTTTCACTACATAAAAGTTATATGCTTGGGGAATGACTACCCACCATGACCTGCCCAGTTAGGAATTTAGGGTCAGATCACACTGTGAGGTGACTCTTCACAGAAGAGTCCACGTAGTCTGCAGGATGATCTTGATAACGCAGAATAAATTGAAACTCTTTTCTTAACAAAAACAATATACACACACACACACACACACACACATATTTATACATACATATATATATATATATATATATATATACACACACACATTGAAAATCATTGATAGGCTGCCTCCTGCACACCCTTACCTAACTTCTTTGTTGTCGACTGCCTCCCAACCCATCTCTGCATACTGAGGAGAGCAGCCAAAGGTTCTGGGTTCTAGGCATGACTTGCCACTTGCTTTCTGTAGGGTTTTGGGCAAGTTACTTCATCTCTCTGAACTTCATTTTTTTTTTCATCTCTAAAGTAGGGAAAATTTTGCATAGTTTATCGGTATATTCTGAGGATGAATTGATAAGAGCTGAAGTACTTAGCTGGAATTGAGTGACGATAGCTGTTATTATCATTGAGTGCTGCTGTTATGTGCCAGCAACTACCTTTCTCTGACAAACTGATTTGGACATATCTTTGTACTTTATCAGGGAACCAGATTTGTTTATCGTAGACCTTTTTATTGGCCTATTGAAAGCATGAGTTTTTCCAGCATATGTTGGATATTACCTTTTGCGTGCAGCCACAGAAGCATCTTAAACGGGGGAGTTATCACCAAAGAAACAGGAGAGGGCCATAAAGTAACTTTCTTGGGCATGCTCTCTAGTGCCTCCTGTGTACCTTTGGGCTCTGTGGTGGGCTGCCCTTAAGTGTTGCATGGTCCTTCTGGCACCCTGTGATGGAGAACATGGGAAGCACGTCTCTTGTTTTCCGTGGATGTGTATGCTGTAGGAGCAGCTGACTAGATAATGACCAGATGTGAGTAGATCTTCTGTTTGCATTGGCTTTTCCCTGAAAATTCCAAAAACTTACATCCATTTTATTCATTTGTTCCACTTTAGGTGTTTCATAAATTTGTAAGACATGAGTCTGAAGCAGTAAGCAGCTTGGTTCTGGAAAGATGTAAGTAGTAGCTAATTTCCAAGTTTAAAGTATATTTGTAGCAATGTGCTAATGTTCTCTCAAATGTGTTGCAGGGGTGCACTGGTGTTTTATAATCTGTAAGTCACCATGCCTTTGGCTCACATTTGCCTCTTGGATCTTGGCCTTGCCCCATCAGGCTGCAGGGCCTAGTGTAAATTGGGCCTTTTTTTCTTTATCAATCAGATCTCACTCCCTCTTGTCACTTTCCTGCCATATAATTTCCTTGAGTCATAGTTGGTTATCTAAGTTACCTAGCGTTATGTGCTATTTGTCTGAGGGACTGAAAGTTTATGAAACCCGTTGTTTCACAGAAATAGTTTCTTGTATTTATAAAGATTTTCAGATCTTAGATGTTATTTTCGTGACACGGATGTTATTTTAGTGACACGGTTTTTTTAAAGGTATTTTAAAGAAGAATTTAAGATGAGCTTAATACTGGTATTTGTTTTGTGGGCTACTCTAAGAATAGTTTCTCCTTTCTTACCAACCCTTTTTTCCTCCCAGCTTCTCATTATGTGTTACTTCAACTGATTTCCCTCTTCAGGACACTTCTCTGAACCTCATTTTATCTGTATATTGCATTTCAGCTCTGAATCGTGTGCAGTTACTGGGGCGAGTTGGTCAGGATCCTGTCATGAGACAGGTGGAAGGGAAAAACCCAGTCACAATATTTTCTCTAGCAACAAATGAAATGTGGAAATCAGGAGAAAGTGAAGCATACCAAATGGGTGAGTATACAAGACTGGGGTGATAATTTTATCAGAAATAAAGAGACATTATTTAGTTTTAATTAACTGGAGATAAGTTACTTTTAGAAAAGATTGTTCTTCTCTGACTTTGTTTTGTTCTCTTTGACATGGTGATGTTGGTTTTGCCAGGCATGTTGTTCTTTGGCATTTATTTTGTCTGCTGGCATTTGTCACCATGTTTCCTATTCTTGTGATTTAGGTGATGTCAGTCAAAAGACAACATGGCACAGAATTTCAGTATTCCGACCAGGCCTCAGAGATGTGGCATATCAGTATGTGAAAAAGGGGTAAGTGGGGGCAGGAAGAATCTTACAGTTTGCATGGTTTAAAAACTGACAACAGTGTTCTCATGAATTCTGTAACTCCTTTGTTCCTGAGTGCTAATAATTTATATTACCTCAGGAAATATTCATTCAGTGCTTAATAGTATATGCAGGTGTTGCTCTGTGTGAAAGGTGTATAAAACCTGGTTTAGCATTCTAAGAACTTAAAGTTTAGGGAAAATAGGACGTGAATATCAATAGGAGCAGATGAGGCCAGAGGGAAGGCAAAATGTACCAAGTGCCCCGTGAACAAGGCAACAACACTGATGGCTGGGTCGTGCGTCTTGTCCTCCACATGCTGGCCTCAGCAGAGGACCTGGAATGTGTGAGGCCTGGCACAGTGAGGTATTGTCCTATTCACATCAGTTTTTTATGTTTGACTATTTTATATAGGCTTCGTAGGTCCCTTTAGAAATGCTTGTATTGATTATGAATAAAAAGTGCTTTTTCTAAATCCACAGGACAAAAGGGTGTGTTTAACAGCAGTTGTATTCACAGTTAACATATTTCATGAAAAGTAATTTCCGCAGCCACTGCAATTTCAATTTCTTTCCCATAACTGCATGCCTTTTCTTCATATGTACCTCCTTCGCCATTTGTGTATGTATGTATATATGTATGAATAATGTGCATATACACATATAAACATGTAGAAAATTTCTAGGAAAATGTCTATGCAATTTCACCTGGTGTGTCTTCTAGCTCATCCTTCGAGATAGTGCAGAAATAGTCTTAGTAATTAACTCTGAGTAAAATACTAAGCTGAAAACCTCTATTTAGAATTTTAATTATCTAAGTCTCTTGAGGAAAACTTTAGGAATTGAAAAATAAGTGAAAATCAAATCTGTTAGGGAGTCCAAAATCAAAGGTCAAGGAAAATGACACATTTGAAATCAATCCTAGATATTTAAAGGCTGTCACTAGATTGCTCTTTCATTTTTACTATCTTTGCCTTTAAAACTTTTTTTTTTAAATTTTAGCTTAAGATTTTGAATAATTTTTTTTAAACTTCCTTATGGACCACAGTCAGCTCAAGGATGAAAACATTGTCCTTGTTACTGAGATGAGTCATTTTAGAGATGAGAATGTGTGTACATTCTGTTTCAGTACACTTAATTTTGAACTTTATGAAATAGTAGTAGCAGAAGTGAGGTTATGTATGATTATATATTTCATCCTTAGTGTATTCTCATTACTTCCCCTGATCTGACTCTTGTAAAGCCTATTAGAATCTCCAGACTAAAAACTACATTTTATTTATTTCAGGTCTCGAATTTATGTGGAAGGGAAAGTAGACTATGGTGAATATATGGATAAAAATAATGTGAGGCGACAAGCAACAACAATCATAGCTGGTGAGCTTGTGATAACAGCTGTTCTTTTCCCCCTTCTTTAAAAGCTTTCACTGGGCCTGAGATACTGATGCTAATGAGATTGTAAGGTAGCTCACTAGAAGAATGCTGAATGTGCTTTGTGGGCTTGCTATGAGTTTCTACACTTACCTATTCCTTTAGAAAATTATCTCTACACTCAAACAGTCTTAGTTCACAAGTAATGTTGAGTAGAGTATAAATTGAACTACCTATGCCAGTTCTTATTGTTGGAGTTAGAGTCTTTGAAGGATATGGCCTAAATAGGGAGAAGCATGTGGGAAGATAGAGTTAGATTAATTGAGTGGCATTAGACATTTGTGCAGGTTTACTAGTATTCAGAACCTCTTTGGTACTTACCATGATGCTTTTGTTTTAAATTCCTATTCTCATTAATATAACTTAGAAAAGATGGACACACAGAGTTTAAAGAAGGTGAAGAAGCTATCCCCTAGAGCAGTTTTCAAACTTTTTTGAAAATTCTACAAAAATTTTGAAAACTATACCCATTTGGACATCTTTAAATTGACATTAACATTTTTTCAATATAATATTGTTATTCTTCAATGTATTAATGGATCTACATATAGCAATTTGATACCAATCATCAGTTTTAAAAATCTATGAACAAGCTCTTCAACACTTGGAAATTTTATAGTAGTCATGCACCGCATAATGTCGTTTGAGTCAACAAAGGACCACATACACAGCAGTGGTATTATCTATCTATCTATATAAAAGCCTAAGCGACTGTTCAACCATCCAACTGGTAACTATGACACGCAATGACTACCTGGGGGTAGACGCTCCGACCAGTAGCTATGATGTGCACTAACCACCAAAGGGCAGATGCTCAACGCAGGAGCTGCCGAGCTGTGGTGACTTGGCAGCTCTAGTTCTCGGGTGACACACCTAGAACCAGAGAGGAGGGTGACCTATTCCAGGGTGTGTCACCTGAGAACCGCCCTCTCGCAATCTGGGACCCCTCAGAGGATGTTGGAGAGCCGATTGCAGCCTGATACCCTCAGGCCAGACCAAGGGACCCCATCGGTGCACGAATCTGTGCACTAGGCCTCTAGTCCTGTATAATAAAACCCTAATATGCAAATTAACCAAATGGTGGAATGATTGGTCCCTAACGCACACTGACCACCAGAGGGAGATGCTCAACGCAGAAGCTGTCCCCTGGTGGTCAGTGCGCTCCCTCAGGGGGAGCGCCACTCAGCCAGAAGCCAGGTTCATGGCTGGCGGGCGCAGCAGTGATGGCAGGAGCCTCTTCCACCTCCACAGCAGTGCTAAGGATCCCTTGGAAGGTGGACATCCCCCGAGGGGCCCTGGACTGCAAGAGGGCACAGGCCAGGCTGAGGGGACCCCACCCCCTGACCCCCCAGTGCACGAATGTCATGCACCAGGCCTCTAGTAATAATATAATGGAGCTGAAAATTTCCATCATAGCCATTGTAATCTCAAGCACAGTTCATTACTCATGTGTTTGTGGGACGCTGGTATCAACAAACCTATGCTGCCAGTTGTATAAAAATACAGGATATACAGTTATGTATAGTACATAATACTTGATAATAAATGACTGTTACTGGTTTGTGTATTTACTTTTTATCATTATTTTAGATTGTACTCTTTCTACTTCTTAAAAAAAACTTTGCCATAAACAGAATGGGTGTTACACCCAGCAGCTCTTGATTGCATCATTTTTTCTTGTGCTTGACTTAACCCTACCAGACTGCTGTACCGATTTTTCGGTAATTTCCACACAAAGGTGGAATATTGGCACTAGATGAAAGGTAGATGGAAGGTAGACCTATTTTCTACAATGTCTCCAAGTTCCATCTTATTCTAACCACTTGTTTGCATGTAACTAACATTTTTCTATATCATGTTGGTTTTTTTCTCTTTAATGCTCAGGAGCCCAGGTATAGGGGCCAGTTAGGTTCAGGGCCTCAGGTCTGGTAGGATTAATCTTGTGTATTTTTGTACAGTAATAGGCTGTACAGACTTGTAGCTTAGGAGCACTAGGCTATATCATACAACCTAGATGTGTAGTAGGCTATACTGTCTAGGTTTATGTAAGGGAACTCTACAATGTTTGCACAACAATGGAACTGCCTAACAAACGGTACCTCAGAACCTATACTCATCGTTAAATGGCACATGACTGCATTCCCTTTTCTCTGAACTTGTTTTCCCATCCCATTTTCTCCTCCGAAGCATATCTTAATAGATTGTGTAGTTAAGCATCTTCTATTACTCATCCAGTTATATTTGTAAGAAAAATACATTTATAAATAGAAATTTTAAAATATTTTTTAAAATTCTGACAGTAAGATGCTCAATGTTACATTTCTTCTTCATTGTGTTATGGTTCTTTTTTTCCCCCCATTCTTGGAGAAAGTGCTAAAATAAGACAGTAGTTAAGAACTAATTCTGTTCTTTTGTTCATTTTTATGGATATAAACACCGAGAAACTTTGTTTTTATAGATAAGTAGATGAGAATCAAAGACATTTTATTGTAGTAATAATGTCTCAATGTTTAGGATTTTCTGAGTCATGCCAAAATTATTTAAAAATTAAATTTTTCGTTATGGAAAATGTCACACACAAAAGTGGAGAGAAATTTTTTTAAAAAACATTTATCATTTAGCTTCAACAATTATCAACTGAGAGCTGATACTACTTCATCTAAACTTCCAGCCACTTTTCCTCCACCTGGGTTATTATGAATTTCAGATGTTATATTATTTCATCCATAAATATTTCAATAGGTATTTCTGAAAGATATGGGCTCCATTTTAAACACAGATACAGTGCTGTTAAGAAATTACTGTTAAAATTTTTTTTGCCAGTTATTACAGTGTTCAGAGTTCCTTGATTGCTCAATAAATCCAAACATTATCTTACATTATTAACATGTGTCTTCAGTCTCTCTCATTTTTTTTAAACAACAGAAATTTATTTTCTTACAATTCTGAAGGCTGGTCATCGAGAACTTAAGTCTCTTTTATTAATCTTCATCAGAGGATATTTTTCCATTGATTTTTTTTATAGAGAGTGGAAAGGATAGGGAGAGAGAAAAAGAAAATCAATGTGAGAAAAACACATCGATTGGTTACCTCCCACACACGCTCTCACCAGGGCCGGGGATCGAGCCTGCAGCTGAGGTACATGCCCTTGACCAGAATCAAACCCAGGATCCTCAGTCCACAGGCCAATGCTCTATCCATTGAGCCAAACCGACCAGGGCAACTTAAGTCTGTTTTATTTAACACTTTTTTAAAAAATGTTTCTCTTCCTTGCTCCAGAGTTCATGTTTTACCCACCAAACCATATTGGTAAATTACAATTTGTTGTAAATAATAATTACAACATGTATTTTCTTACTGGTTTTTTTGAAAGTATATTGACCTTAAAAACCAGCATGGATAATTTTCTGCCTTCATTATCAGACCTTAGACACGGTTCTTCCTGACCATTTTGTTTTCATAATTCTTGAGTGTCTTGACAATAAATCATTTCCTCCATGTCCTGTTCTTCCTTTGGCCATATCCAACTGTTCAAATTTTTTTCCAGATCTCCATATGGTATATAGATCTACACCTATGATTTCAGCAGTGGGAAAACAAGCTTCTAATAACATAATAATTGACAATTTCTAAATCTCTATTAACTATTTATTTATGAAGCATTTAACACTTTCATATTTTACCATAAACCAAATGTGTGGGCTAATTTTGATTGTGTAAATTGTTATGAACTTAGCCAAATGGATGCATTTCAGATTATCTGCCTTTTTGTGTTTTTCTTGTCACCAGTGTTTATATAGATTTCTAGATCATAAATGAATAGGTCTTTAGTGACATTTGAATTGAAGTGAGTTTAATTTGGTTGATCTGTTTCATAGGCTATATTTTTTCCTCTTAGGGATCATGTCTATAACTTAAAAATAACCACCAGCAGATGGCACTCTTGTCTTTACACAGTGATGCAGTTCTAACAGTCTCTTCTGAAATAAACATTCTACACCAAAATATTCCATTTTTTGAAGACTGGATAGTTAATAAATATTCAGTCATTATATAATAACCATTTTTAAATAATTCCAAAGTTAAAAGAATCTAGATCTTTTGGAGTTATATAGGAAGTATTACTTAATTCTTTTCCTTTGCATGTCCTAAACTAACTCCGTCTGGAACAGCATTTTAAGAATAATGTCTGATGTTCTTAGATAAAAATGTTGTCTTTGTAATATTGATTAGTCAATCTTTTCCAAAGAATGAGTATATAAAAAGTCATTCTGTTTTAACATTTAAAAATAAAATGTCTTCTATGTGAGTGTTCAAACTTCCTTTAAAACATAAATAAATCCTTGCCGACAAGGCCACATGTTGAACCCTGTCCTTCCCTCCACCTCCAGCATGAGGAGTGTTATGCCTGGTCCTTTTCTACGTGAGGATGTGCTGCCTGTTTAATGGCACCTGCCTGAGCATTGAAAGCTTTGAAGTTTGTGACTTGTTGCTTGGTAGAGAGTCATTGCTGAGAAGACCTAAATTGTCCAGGGAAGAAAAGAAATATGCCCCTCTTTTAACAAGGTCTGAATTGTTGACAGATAGCCGAAGCCCAGCTTTGAGCTCCATCCTGCCAGTTGTATATACCTCTAGGGAACAGCAAGAGTTGTTCAGTATTTTGAGAATTGGCATAAAATCCTTTTATGTAACAGCACTGAAGTATATATGTATTAGAGGGGAATGATTAAATGGGATGGGAAAAGTGTTCTGAAAATAATATTTATACTCTGGCTTCTTTACAGATAACATTATATTTCTGAGTGACCAGACAAAAGAGAAGGCATAGAGCGGACCATTCTTCTTTGGCCAGTGTTTGGTATAGTCTCATTTCCAAATCATGTATAGTCTTTATAGTTTCTAAGGACAAAAATTAAAATATTATTTTATATAAAATGATAATATTTCTCCTTTCTCCTGACTGTTGCTCTCCACTCCTCTTTTTGTGCCATCAACCTTGGTAGTTGCTGTCTAATGCGACATTCACTAATTGTTTATTCTTTTAGGGGTGGTTTCTATGTACAAGTATACAGAATAGTGAATTGTCAGGTTCATCTGCACTATAGCAGAGGAATAATGTCCTTTGGGAAGACCTCTTGTTTTTTGTGCGCATTTCTGTTATAGTATTGATTCAGTATTAACTGAGCATCATTATATGTTAGGCATCTATCTCCCTGTTGTAAATATTGATTTTCTTAGCTGTTTACTCTGTGTGCCTGTACTTGAACCAGAGCTTGGCATAGAACAGACAGTGGATAAGTCTTGACAGATGCATGATCCCAATGGGATATTCAGCTTTAGCCCAAAGTGAAGGGAGTTGCTGAGCAGGTTGGTATCCAACCTGCCTTCTTCAAATCTTTTGTTTGTGGACAGTTTCAATAGTAGCATTTATGAAATGAAGTTGACTAGCAATAAAGACCTGAAATATAGCTAGGGGTGAAGTAGTTCATCTCCAGGGGATGGTACAGGGCTCTGGTTCTGATTCTCTTTCCTTTTATTCTCATTCAGAACTCTCAGGGAAGTCCCCTGACCAACCTTTGACCTTGCCTCCCTAGGTTGGAGCCTGAGTATGACATTTTCCTTTCCTTTTTCCACATGGTCTGGATGCACATATACATAAGAGAAACTTGTGTACGTGCAGAAAATTGTGTGCTTTTATTATAAGGTTCTGGAAATTACAGAGTACTAATAATTTACTAACAAGGATCAGATGAAATAAACATAGCTTTTCAGTGCATCTTTTACTACTTAAAGTTTGGGTCAGTCCTCCACAGGTTCGCCTCTAGTTTGCTGCAGGGTTTTAGAGGTTGACTGCTATAGAAGTTATTCATTCCATCTGGGTCAGGCCCAGCCTATGTATATGTGCCCTGGGGTACACATACTCTCCCCTCTGCCTGAGAGCATGCTGCTCGCTGAAGCTTAGGAGGTGCTGGACTTGAATAGGTTCAGAATTCACAAACTGTGTATGGACTCTTAATGACCATCTGAAAGGAATTCTGAGCCTGGGGCACAGGGATAGAAATTGTATCCTACAGGATCCTCGTAAGCCAAGGGCCTCTTCTCCAGTCTCCCCCTGCAGACTTCCTGAAAGGCTCTGAGGCTGGAGTGGCAGAGCCTGCAGAGTCAAGTGTTCAACGCAGAGGCCTCAAGATGTGCTTTGTACTGCAGACCTGGCGATTCAAATCAGACAGGTTGTGGGAGTACCAACTCTGCCCTCCCACCGAGGCAGCCCTGTCTGCTGCTCCCAACACGTCTAGGCATAGAGGAGATATTGGGAACCCAATAGCAGTAATAGAATGTGGGGATCATCTGGTCCAAGTGTGTCCCACATTTCCCTTTTTCAGGTATGGTGTCGGATATACCTGCCGAAATCTGCCCTGTGACTGATTTTGAGATTCCATGTTAAGTGGAGAGAGGAATATGATACATAGAACAGTGGGAGAAAAAGTGTCAAACAGCATGTGTGGTGTTATCCCAGTTCCCCCCACAAAAGTTGCAATTAATATAATTATATACTTAGAAAAGTCTAGAGCAGTGATTCTCAACCTGTGGGTCACGACTCCTTTGAAGGTCTAACGACCCTTTCACAGGGGTCGCCTAAGACCATCGAAAAACACAGATATAATTACATATTATCTTTGTGATTAATCACTATGCTTTAATTATGTTCAATTTGTAACAATGAAATTGGGGGTCACCACAACATGAGGAATTGTATTAAAGGGTCGTGGCATTAGGAAGGTTGAGAACCACTGATCTAGAGGAAGAAACATTAAATGTTATGATCTCTGGATGGGGGATTTTGTGTGATTTTTCCTTATTTCCTTAAACTTTTATATATCCTAATTTTACTTTTTAGCATTGAAAGTGTATTACTTTTATAATAAGAAAAAATAAAGCTGTTTTCATTTTGGGGAAAAGAAACACCTTCCCATTATTTCCAAGGCAGGCTTGCTACACTCACCTTTAGCTAGCACCGCTTCATGTACTGGAGGTGAACAGGTAATCAAACGTTCGTGTTTTTTCCCCATCATCTGCATCTTGGCATCTCATGCTTAGACACTCATCTCTTTTTTTTTTCCCCTTCCCTCTTTTTCTTTCATTATCCTATTAATATGTGTACACAACCCAGAGCAACCAACTTTAAAGACCAACCCACATGAGATGCACTGTTCACTGCCAATATAGTTTTCAGCCAACATCCATTTCTTAAATACCACCGGATGATTAATCTAGAGATGTCCAAGAATACCAAGGACATGCTTCTGTGGCTGTTTTGAGAATTCCTTTCATTGCCAACCGGATTACAGCTTAACCTTTGTAGCTCAGGAGAAATTAGTAATAGTTTCTCTGTGTTCCCTAAAGAAAATGCAATTCTTTTTTCCTTAAATATATTTTTATTGATTTCAGAGAGGAAGGGATAGGGGAGAGAGAAACATTAATGATGAGAGAGAATCATTGATTGGCTGCCTCCTGCATGACCGCTGTTGGGGACTGAGCCCACTACTCAGGCATGTGCCTTGACTGGAAATCGAACCATGACCTTCTGATTCATAGGTCGATGCTCAGCCGCTGAGCCACCCTGGCTAGGCCATGCAATCCTTGAAGGCAAATTTGCTGTTGATTCAGACTACTCTTTGCCTCCGTCCAGCTCAGCCTAGCACAGCAACATTTTAGTGCGTTGTGAATGTTTGTTGTTCAGTTGGAGTTCACTCAGACACTGACATGAAAATGAGGGCAGGATCATTTTACTGAGCTATCTGTCAGGGTTTGCATTGTGTGCCATGCAGATGGTTGGGAGCAACAGCAAACAAATTTAAAATGCGAGATAATCGCAGGTAATGAGTTGTAGAGAAATCTCTTACAGTAATTGTATGAATGGCTGACGTTTGTGTGCCTACTGCCTGCCAGGCTAAGTGCTTTTATCACTGTCTCCTTTAACTTTGACCCTAGGAAGAAGGTAATATTAGCCTCATTTTACCTGGGAAGAGGGGAACCCTAAGCAGAGATTGAGTAGCATATTGAAGTCATGTAGCTTAAAAGAGGCAACCTTGAGTGTGAACTTAGGTATGTGAAGTTTTCATTTTGTTTTCTGCCCACCGCCTGTTTCCTGCCACCCTCCCACTCCCATTGCCCCTAGAATCCACAACTCCTCGCTGCTAACCTTCAACCAGCACCCATGCAGGGAGCATATGAATCTCAGGGAGTTTAACACATAATTGGGGGGAGAATCACATGTGAGGGAGAAATACCTCTATCTTTTTACTCTTTCTGATTTTCAGTCTGATAGCTACAGGAAAATAAGTCACAGCTAATGTCTCTACCAGGTTATCTTTACACTTTCCTCTTTTAACCAAGCAGTGCCTCTTCTGGTTAAAGTCAGTTCACTGTGTGTGCTCCTCATTGTCTCCTTCCTATGGAGAGATAAGTTGTTAGGAAGATGGTTCTAGAATTTGTCAGGCTCACTGGAGAAAGACTTGGCAGGTATCGACAATATTTGAGCCCCCACTTGCTGCTGTATTTGCCTGTGTGCCAGTCCCACCGTCTGTGATAGGACTGTGCATGTTTTTTTCTGCCGCCAAAATCATGCAGCCACAGTAATGAAATTTCTCTTTTTGTCTTTTTCCTCTTCATCCTTTTGTTTTCTCCTGTGCTGCTTTTTAAAAAAATATATATTTTATTGATTTTCTTACAGAGAGGAAGGGAGAGGGATAGAGAATTTGAAACATCGATGAGAGAGAAACATCAATCAGCTGCCTCCTGCACGCCCCCCACCGGGGATATGCCCGCAACCAAGGTACATGCTTTTGACCATAATCGAACCTGGGACCCTTCAGTCCCTAGGCCGACGCTCTATCCACTGAGCCAAACTGGTCAGGGCTCTCCCGTGCTTTTGACAGTGTCTTGTTAGTCCATAAAGTAGTACAGCTTGACATTTTAGTTTTTCTGTTGCACCTGTCATTTGAGAAAAAGTGGTCTATTATATTAGTTCCCTTAAGGCTATGCCGTTAGAAAGCCTGGATTTGAATCCCTGCTTCTCTTACCAGCTGAGTGGTCTCTGGTGAGTTTCTTAACTTTTCTTGCCTTGGATTTTTGTTGTTTTGTTTTCTGTGAATAAACAGGGACAATAGTAGTATCTACTTTATAGGTCTACTGTGAAGAGCATAATAAATAATATATGTAGCTTACTTATTAGCACAGAGTGACTGGATCAGGTGCTTAACACATAAGGGCTGTTGTTATTGCTGTAGTTATTTTAAACAAGGTATATCTGTATCACCATGCCCATTGCATTAAATCCCATAGATAGTTATGAGAACATATTAACTTCAGTGTATTGTACTTGATCTTTTTTGTTGTTGTTAATAACGTCCATGATTACTGAGCACATATCCCTCTTGGAATTTTTTTTATTTTTTTACTCTTCCATGGCTTTTTATAATTAATTTAGGCATCTGTTTAAACTCAAAAGTCAATGAGATACAGTGGGGCCTTGACTTACGAGTGTCCCAACTAACGAGTTTTTTGAGATACCAGCTGTCTCTCGGCCGATTTTCTGCTTTGAGTTGACAGAGTAATTTGAGAAAACGAGCTCCTTAACGAGTTCGGTCTCGGAATGAATTAAACTCATAAGTCAAGGCCCCACTGTACTTGCTGTATGCCGTGCATCCTGCAGGCCTGAGTGTAGGGATGAGTATAACAGGAGTCCAGCATTGAAGGAGCTCCTGATTTAGGTTGATGAGGGTTGTGTGGGGAGGACAAATAGGAGCCTGTGTAGCTAATGTAATATGGTTGAAATAAAGTCCTGTGTGGGGCACAGAAGAGCATAGTTAGGTTAGTGTTTAACAGGATGGACAGAGGCCCAGAAACTTAAAAGTGTATGAAGCAGTGAGAGAAAACCATGAAGAGTGGGTCAGGCTAGACTAGAAAGGGCCCTGAAAACTTGCAGAAGACTTTGGCAGTGGGAGCTTTAGAAGGTTTTAAGACAGACATCTCAACGAACGAACACTGAAGGCAGGTGAAGGGTTAGAGGGACAAGGCCTGGAGGCAGTTAGAAAGGGATTGAACAAGCCTAGAAAGGTTGGTAGGGTGGGTGAGAGGTGACATGAGGGGCATTTGGGGTTTACATTCATCCATTTGTTGTGTACCGGTTACGTGTTAGGCTCCTATTAGGCTCAGGGTTGGGGATACTAAGAGCATATACCCCCTCCCAGAGTCTAGTGGTGACAGAAGAGATGGTAAAAGACAACAGATACTTCTGAAGCTCCAGCCTGGACAGCTGGGTGGGTAGTGGCACTTTGTTTCTGAGACTAAGGAATATGAATGTGGGAGCAGATTCGAGAAGAGATAATGAGTGTACAGTGCAGTGTTTTGTTCTGTTTTTAATCCTCACCTGAGGATATGTTTTAGTAATTATAGAGAGTGAGGAAGGGAGGCAGTGGGGTGAGCGAGGGGAGACATTTATCATCAGGGATCAAACCTGCAGCATAGGCATGTGCCCTGACTGGGAATCAAAACTGCAGCCTTTCAGTGCATAGGACAGCACTCCAACCAACTGAGCCACAACAGCCAGAGCAATGAGTTTAGTTTTGAACATGTAAGTTTAAGCTTATATTTGTCAGGGTGGTGATTAATAAGCCTGGAGCTTAGAAGATAAGTTGAGACAAGCAACTTTTTTCTTCTTCTGCCAAATACATTGTAAGTAGATTTTGTGAAGTAACTTTTAAATGTCTGGAT